TTATTTTTCAAGGAACTAGGATGGTATTGCTTTCTGAGTAGGATAACCTGCTCCTACTGACAGCCTCAGCTTTGAACATTTTTGCTGAATTGCACTAGTATTACTAGCTTGACATAAGCAAGTTTTATAAAAAAACCGCGTACCCGTGTATGAGAAATGCACTACCACTACCTCAGATTTATGGCCTTTCAGACGAATAATTTCAGCTAACCTTAGCACATTCACTAAGTAACAGTTCTGCTTGCGTCACCTCCAAAAATTTTGATAGTTTGCTCTTTATCTACACTTCCCTACTGATTAAAAAAATTACTATCTTTTTTGCACTTGACAACATTATGAGTCAGTCGTTCATTTGCCCGCTAATTCCAATAGCAAAAAAATGGCCACACCCAAGTTTTTAAAGACCAGGCTTAATCATGTACAATCCTGCAATATTAGGGGTTGATGGTGATGGAAAAATGAGGAAGCCTTTTCAGGAGTTGCGAGGAAATGCAAATTCCCGACAGTTACTGCATTTGTGAACGCAAGTGGACACCGATTGGTGGTGAAGAAGCAAGGATCGCTGCACTAGTACTAATACGCCATATCAATCAGTTCCTTAGGCGCAAAAATCTAGGCGATCGTTGTGCGACGCTAACATTGAAAAAAGTAACTTCTTTTCTTCAATTCTTTTTTATTTTACCATCAAATTTGTTGCATTGCTCTTACCTGACTGCTAAACTGGTGTAACTGGTACATAGTGCTTCTTGCATGCTGAAGCAGATAGTCCAACTCTGCCACTAAGTCATCCAGTCTCTTTGCAATCAGCTCATTTGTTCTAGTAGTAAATTGGTACTAGGAAATGCCGCGAATCCAAAACTACTTTTAGTTCGCTTATAAGCTAGCTATGCTTTAAAGACACAATGAAAGTTTTGCCAGAGACTGGTTGCTGTGCAACTAACTGGCTTGCTCCAGAGTGTCTTCGTCTTTCACAGAAATGACTAATGGGATGATTTTTGACTCTGGCTCGAAAAATAAAGATGTTAGAATACGACTAATATTAGGAGAAATAAGGAAAACCTTTATACTTTTATGGAAGGAGGGGAAGAAAAAAAACATTAGCTTTTTTGCACCCCACTTAGCAGCAAAAATATAAATGTATATTAAAACCAATGGCTCGCCTAACTTCTTATAAGAAACGGCGTACCCCCATTTCAACGAAATATCACATTTTTTCATTTTTTGCGCTCAGCTTGTTCAAAACCACATTATTTAAGTTTTGGCATTAAGCCGATTGTGCTTGCACATAGTCACTTACTTTTTAGTGAAACCTAACACTTCTGAACTGACTCTAAAGCTTCATTGACTGAATTTTAACTCTATCAATAAGATTTTGCATCTGTCAAGGCTTATTTTGCGCCCTTTTGGCTAAATTATGCGCTATCCGGTGAATGTTGCTCTTCTCAGCTAAATTTGGTGTTTCTTGATCAGATTTTCTACACTTTCTTTTAGCCGTACTAGAATAACGAAAAGTTGCTATTCCTCTTCGCTTGCATTTATATACCATAATATCACAACAGTTTGACTGCGGGACAGGTTTCATGCATTTGATTTATCATCACATCACTGTTTTACAGTTTAGTTGTGCGTCATGGCTACAGGCGTTACTAAAATCACCTGTGTCACTCGGATGATTGGTGATAACGAGTTGATGTTAGTAATGCTATTGAAACGCGGCCACATGGCTGGTGCAGCTGGCAAGAGCTATAAATGGAGGCGTGTAACATACAATTCGTGTGCTGCTCGTTTTCCTTTTATAAATACCATTCGCTGATGCGCAAAGCCCAACCGTTGCTACTTTTATAAAAAATAATGCTTGTAATCTGAAAATTATTTACAAGCACAATAGCGAGGTGAAATTATTTTAAATCTATTTTGGACTTCTCGAAAAATTTATGTGTTGGCAAGCAGCTGAATGCTTGTCTGGCGCCATAGTTCCCCAAGCAGGAATTCTCGTGACGTGGAAACTGCTTGTGCCTTTTTGCACCGTCAGTCAAATATCTTTTGGAGTTGATTATGTGGCTGGAAATGTGTGCAAGTTTGTCCCGGTAATAATTTCGGCATACTGCATGCAAAAGGTGTTTAACAAGGAGATAAGGCAAAAAAAAAAAATTGGCCAACGCACGGGCTGCCCGTGCGAAGATGCGTTTTTTGCAGAGTTCCC